TCTCAAGTGGAGCTCCCAGTCCCTCCCCTCCTTCTTTAGGGATACACAGGCCTAACTGCGCCCCTCTCAGTGAAGTGAGCTCCTGGCAGCTGCTCAGTCCCAGTACTGAGTGGAGTCTACCAGAAGGGGTGGTGCTTGGCCTCTATGCAAATTTTCTCTATGCAAATTTAATTCCAGATTTAGCAATAATAAAATTGATAATAATAACATTACTACTAGTAATATCCATATATGATACAGGTTTCTATTTCTCAATTACTTTAGAGATCTAAAGTAGAGGCACATGATCAAGTGGATTTTTAAAATCTATGCATATTTGTTACAAAAAAGGTGGTTATATTCATACCCATTTGTTGTATTAGGTGTGTATATGTATAGAAAGTGAGGGAGGAGGATGAGAAAAAGATAATTATGTGCATGTATAAAATTTATTAAGTATAACATTAAAATAGGAAGCATGATTATGTTATTTATTGTCATTTCAAAAGTAATAGCAAAATTGAGTGAATGAATTGAATTATTTATAACTCCTGGATCAGTAAAAACAAAACAGAGCAATAAATAAACGAGTAACCTTGATTTGAATAACTGTTAATTCTGATTTTAAGTGGTTTTGGAAATTTAACTTGTTACCCATTTTCCCTTTCGTTTATATTTTACTGGTTTTTGGGATTTGGAGTATCAGCTTCCCAAGTGGCATTCTGATGATTCACTATTCTATCATTCATTTTTTTCAGAAAATTTAGTATCAAAATGAATAATATTAAAAGCAAAGTAACATATATTTTAATAAGGAATTATGGCTTACAAACTACTTTCATGTGTATTATCTAGAACAGTGATTTCAATCTTTTTAGTTTAAGAATTCCTTTAGGACACTGTGATGCAGTAGGTTTATCCTCCATCTGTAGTGCCGGCATCCCATATGGGCTCTGGTTTTGTTCTCGGCTGCTCCTCTTCCAGTCCACCTCTGCTATGGTCTGGGAACACAGCAGAAGATGGCGCAATTGCTTGGGCCCCTGACATCAATGTGGGAGACCCAGAAACAGCTCCTGGCTCCTGGCTTCAGATCAGCCTAGCTCCAGCCTTTGCGGCCATTTTGGGAGTGAACCAGCGGATGGAAGACCTCTCTCTCTGTCTCTCCCTCTCACTGTCTGTAACTCTACCTATCAAATAAATAAACAAAATCTTTAAAGTAAAAAGAATTCCTTTAGCATAAATAGTAAGAGCTATTTACATCTTGCTAGAAATACATCATATGCATATTTCACAGAAGTTCACAGAAGTTTCTCAAACCCTAGATGGCAGAGTCCTTGGAACCAGGCTATCCTGCAGAGGTCTGTAACTGTATGTAGCTTAAAGGCCAAATCTAGTTACTTCCTATTTTTGTATGGTCTGAGACCTCAGTGTAGCTTTCATATTTTTAAAAATTTTTTAAAGATTTTATTTATTTATTTGACAGGTAGAGTTACAGAGAGAGGGAGAGACAGAGAGAAGAGGTCTTCCATCCACTGGTTCACTCCCCATATGGCTGCAACAGCTGGAGTTGGGCCGATCCAAAGCCAAGAGCCAGGAGCTTTTTCTGGGTCTCCCGTGCAGGTGCAGGGGCCCAAGCCCTTGGGCCATCTTCTACTGCTTTCCCAACCCATAGCAGAGAGGTGGATCGGAAGAGGAGCAGCAGGGTCTCAAAACAGCACCCATAATGGATGCTGGCAATGCAGGCGGAGGATTAGCTTAACTATGCCACAGTGCGGGCCCAGCTTTTACATTTTTTAAGTGACAGAAAAATACCAAAATATCTATCTTGATACATGAAATTCAAATTTACCAGTTCATAAATAAAGTTTATTAAAATATAGTCACACTTTTTCCCGGGCAAACTGCCCATAACTGTTTTTGGCTGCAATAGTAAAGTTAAGTAGTTTGGCAGCCTGAAATATTAGCTATCTGGCTGTTTACAGAAAACACATGCTGACCCCTGTCTAGAAGTTTCAAAATGTATTTTGTGCTTTTAATTGCATTTTGCTGGGCACTTGTTAAAGTATACTTAAGTTTAATTAGGATTTGAGAAGAATTCTGTTTTTCAAGAAGCAAGGATATTACTTAAAAGATTATAAAAAATATCTACTAAATGACTTTTGAAAGAATACCAGAAGTCATCAACATGATGTTTTAAAAAGTGTTTAGCAGAAAGGTGACATGCTCTTGATACTAGTTTAAGTGAAAGAAAGTATAAAATAGGATAATCAGCATGATTTCAACTATTCAAATAATTTTTAAAGATTTATTTATTTGAAAGAGTTACAAAGAAAGAAGGAGAGGGAGAGGGAGAGGGAGAGAGAGAGAGAGAGAGAGACAGACAGACATATATCTTCCACTAACTGGTTCACTCCTCAGATAGCCACAACAGCCAGGACTGGGGCAGGCAGAAGCCACAAGCAGGAGTTTCATCCAGGTCTCCCATATGGATGGTAGGGGCACAAGCACTTGGGCCATCTTCTGCTGCTTTTCCCAGGCCATTAAAAGGGAGCTGGATTGGAAGTGGAGAAACTGGGACACAAATAGGGTGCTTTCATCACAGGCAGTGGCTTTCATCACAGGCAGTGGCTTAACCCAATGCACCAGGACACCCATTGCTATGTAAATTTTTTTAAAGGAAAGAGTTTAGAAGAGAATATATTCACCTGTTAAGTCTACTGATTGAAGTTATACAGTATTTAAAAATTTTCTTTTCAGTATTTTCCCAATTGTACATTCTTATCTATCACTTTAATAAGAAAAAATAAGGAAAATGTTAATCAAAAATTAGAGTAAATTTTTTCAGTTTTTTAAAAAATTATCAGCCAAAAATTAGAATCTTTTCTGATCATATAATTATAAAGATGTATAGAGAACAAATGAATAGATTGAGTAATTACAAGACTGGAAATCACTTTTAAAAATGAAATTTTAATTTAGACAGCATGACAGCTTGGTATCTGATTTTTTTTTCCAAATACAAATTATACTTGTGAAGCTGCCAAATAAGTGTAGACCTTTATGTGAAGAAGGAGTTTTACACAAAATTGTAAGCATTGTTAGTTCTGTGCTGAGAGGGATTTTGTCAAAATGCATAATAGACTACTTGCTGTCCAAAGAAGCTTCTTTCGGGGTCATTAGCACAATATAGGTTTCATGACAGAAAGAACGGTGAGCATAGTGAGCAACTTTTTCTGTCGATCTAGTCTGTCTTCATCTGATTGCTGAACACATGAATTAATATTTGGATGAGTGAGTTATGTTTAAGTGTGATTTTTGTCTCTGTCACAAAAAAAGATAACTTGATACCTTAACTAGCAGAACTGTTAATACTCTTTTAAAAATGTTAGAAGAGGTGTGACTATAACACGTCACTTAAGTTGTCTTATCAACAATTGTAAGATATCATTGAAAAGTAGGAAAACAAGAACATCACAACCCATTTCTCTACCTCTCTTCCATGTCACCATCTTTAGTGCTGTAATTGCAATGAAATTAGGAGTAATAGCAAGAAGAGTATTCTTAAATAATGTGAATGGAGAATCTGATACATAAAAATGATCTACTGAAAAAACTCAGGATACATTTAGTAAGTATGGCTTTGGAAAAATTATTAAGCTAAGGAATATCTAAAACATAAGTAACAATCAAATGAGATGGACTTGACGTCCAGTAGCCTCAGAATTATAACAGAAGAAATTTGAAAAGAAATAAAAACAAAAATGTCTAGTGTTACTATTACTCCGAGAAAATCCTCTAAAATGATTTTTATTGCATCTTTAAGGTAGGGGAAAAACCAAGTCTCCAAAATTCTCAGAGTTCTCAGCATGAGCCAGACTGCAGTCTAGCTTCTCTAAAATGTTTTAGATAAGCACTTATTTTCAATATTTTAGTAGAAATTTTCTAGGCTGCCTAAGATACACCAATTATTAACTTAGTTTTACTTAAAACACCATTGAGACGTATAATAAAAATAAGAGATAAACTCAAATGTTATATTAAAACATAAATCTGCTATTCTTATTTAGGTAGAACAGTTCCAGAATTGGCAACATTTGGTAATGTGAGAATAAACAGAGCAAGTGTAGAAAACAGAGTTTACCTTCTTCACAAGTATTTGGATTATATTTTTAGACATATCAAAACACATATGTTAAGAATATCTCATATGATGCTTATGTTTGCAATGTTTGTGTTCAATTTTAGCTCATAGACTTTCCTTCTAAAAATGCTAAAATTGACACATGACAGTATTGTGAATATGAACTACGGCCAAAATGAATCGAGGATTTTCTTACATTTTATGTGCTAAGGTTACAAATTTTATTAATGATTCTTTTTAGTTCCCACATTTATGAAATGCAAAATGACAACTGAGGAGCTGTGTTTGATTTTCAAGTAGATGACAGACACTAAACTGGGTGTGATAGAAATAGTGACAAGGTGGCATTAACACTTATGGGACACACGTTTTGCTTATTTAATGCTATCTCATTTTCAATAAGCATTGAAGAGGTGTATTATGTATCTGTGTGGGTTGGACACACAGACATTTAATTCAATCATAGAAATGATATAAGTTATCAAATGCCTGTTTCTGGAAAGCAGGCAGATTTTTCTTAAAATAGCAGGAATATCATTAACTCTTTTTACTGAAAATCTAAAAATGACTTCAAAATTTGTCCTCAAAATATAAATCCAGCTATAAAATATTTTCAATGATTACATCATTCATTCGAGTAAATTAAGTAAAATAAAATGCCGAAGTCCTTCCTCTCCTCCCCCTCCATTCTGTAACATGAAGCTATTTCCCATGTATCAAGACCATCACAAAAAATCTGAGGCAATTCCAAAGAGTTATCTGGCTTCTATGTTGCCTCCCTCCATACACAACATGAAAATGAGAACTCTGAAAGCCTCAGCATCTGAAATTTAAAAACCACTGGTGTAAATGGCTAAGAAACTTCAAAGCATCTACTTACTTGCCAAGCAAAAGTTTTCTTAAGCAGTCACTGGGAAGTTCATGAAAATCTCTTGTCCTTACAAAATATGAAAGAAGTCAAAGTATCATAAAGCACAGGAAAACTTTTTTTAAAATCTTACTTAAAAAAAATAAAAGCTGCTCCTCCCTGTGAGGTAAACAGTATGAAAGAGAATCTCTGATGATCTTTTTCCTCCAACACAATCATATCAAATCCAAAAGGAATAGTAGATTGAGCCACCCACGCTGTCTGAGGACTATCCCAACTGCAGCTTTCTCAACTTTGTAGGGAAAAATAGGAGGGTATCTTGTTTCCTCCTCGTCCTGTGACGTACACATAGCTGACTCCTACTGGACCGAAAAAGCACTCCTTGTCAATTTTTACTTAAAATTATGACTAACAAACTCTCTGCAGGACATCCTTAAAGGGAAATTCTGCTAGGATTAGTATTTAAAATATCTGAGTGAGCTCCGAATTCACAGTATTCATAAAGATACATACATACTTGAGAAATTTCCACTGACCGGCCTAAATTAGGGGCATATCTATTAAAAAAAAAAGTTCCCTTAAAGGATGATGTATTTTCTGTTTCTCAGTTCATCTGTTTTTGGTTTTGTTTTCTGGTGGCTATAGGAGCCCTCCTTTTTGTTTAGAAATGGCTGAACTGCAGATCTTTCCAGCGGAGAAAAGAATTGGGTATTTTTATTCTCACCTGCAAAGTTCTTGGCAGCTTGATAGATGAGCTCTGGGTTGGATCTTTATCACTGCCTTCTTGGGGAATCTGGGGACTTTGAGCGTTGGATTTGAATAGAGTAACTCAAGGTAGCGACCTGCTTTCTGCACCTTCAGTGAGGACTTAGCATTCCCTGTTTCTGCCTATTGCCCTCTGAGCTGGCAACAATTATTATGTCATCTTCATGGCTGTATGACTTCACCTAACTCCAGACTCATCTCTTCATACATCATCAATTCAAAACATGAAAAGTGGTCAGGGCTGTCAAGAGTTAGATATGAAGAAATGTTTGGATACTGAACTAATCCACAACTGGAATTCTCAGTGGGTTGTACATAGAGCTGGTGGTTCTTGCTTCTAGAATCTCCATTTGAAGCTGTTTCTTCAATTTGGAAGGTGAGATGACGGAAGTGCTCTGCCCAAACTTCATTGTTTTCAGACCAAGCTTCAACTACCCTTGCTCCAAGTACTAAAGGAATAACACATTAATATTTATCTGTGATAATTTGGGACCAACACTGTGGTGCCACAAGTTAAGCTGCTGCCTGCCACACTGGCATCCCACACCAAGGGCTGCTTCAAGCCCCAGCTGTTCCACTTTTGATCCAGCTCCCTGTCAACGTGCCTGGGAAAACTGAGGAAGATGGCTCAAGTGTCTGGGCCACTGCCACTCATCTGGGAGACTCGGCTGGAATTCCAGGCTCCTGGCTTCAGGGTGGTCCAGCCCTGGCTGTTGCAGCCATTTGGGGAGTGAGTCAGTAGATGGAAGGTTTCTCTTTCCCCTCCACTGTCCCCCCCTCTTTCTTTCTTTCTTTTCTCTGTCTCTGTCTCCCTGCCCCGCCCCCACTCCCACCACTCTGCCTTTCAAATAAAAACTTAAAAAAAAATAGATTATGTCTCTCAAATTTGTCATCATCTCAGCATTCTCACTTTGATTATGTATCAGTCATTCAGTAATTTGTATCTGCTTTCAGTCTGGTCTCTTTCTCAACATCATTAAAGAGCATTTATTTTAAAATACTAGTTCATTAAATTTAAAAAAGTCTCGCAGAAAAACTGGAACTGAAATTGAGAAATATATAAAATGACTTGTAATCCAAGAGACAGTCATAGCCCAGTTCTTTGCCTACCTCTTTAGAATTTTATGAATGCAATGTGAATATTAACAACACTGAGAAATGCTTATGTGTTTGCATAAACATTTATATATAAACATATTTGTATATATATGCATATATATACATATATATGTATATACACAATTACATAATTATCCAATTAAATAGAAAGCCAAGAACACATTGTACATAATTATAGGGGATTGGAAATATCTTTTTTTTGCCCCATCAACAGGTTCATGACTGAGACCTCGTAATAAAGGACAGATTAATAAAAGCACACAGAGGTATTTAATGTAAGATCTATGTGACATGAAAGCCTTTAGAAATGAACATCCAAAGTACCAGGTAGATACATATTTTTATGAAACATGGACAGCTGTGAGAAGTATGATTGGACAAATCTAGGTAATGATCTAGTAGTAACAAAGTGGAGGGAATTTAGCAAGGCCTCTTTGCATAGACTCTTCTCTATGTCCCTGTGTCTTCAGACATAAGGATGTTCCTGTCCTCCAGTTGCAAGGATTGTATCTGTCTATTGGGGGTCTTATGTAGGACCTGCTTCAGGGAAGAAGGGCTAAGGCAAGGTGGGAGAGAATTTCTTGATTCATTTTTCTCAAATGCCAAGGTACCTTATTTTGGGATAGTGTATCCTGAATCCTATCATCAATATGAATCCTTTTTCTTTAAATTAATATACTGTAATTTTCCAAATAAGTAAAAAGATATCTTCAAATTAGCTATGAATGATGGTAATAATGTAATGAAATATATAATGGAATAGTGCTTATTCTTTTCTTTGGCACCAAAAGTTACACTGGACATTTTTCAAATATGAATTGCAAGGGCTTAGATTGGAAAGAGGAAAGAAGAAAAACGTAGAACACACATTTTAAGATTATTTGCATTTTTTAGGTATTAGACAACTATCTCTTTTCTGTGCTAATCATTTGTTATGGATTCAAACACTTACTCAACCTGGAAGTCTATGTCTCATAGGCTCCCCTTATCTATGATTCATGTTCTGCAGTTTCAGTTATCCATGGTCAACTGCAGTCCAAAAATATTAAATGAAAATCTTCAAAAATAAATGATTCAGAAGTTTTAAATTGCATATAGTTGTGAGTGGCGTGATAAGACTTACAGCATGTCACTCTGTCTCACTCTGGACGTGACTTATCCCTTGATTCAGCATATCTATGCTGCATAAGCTATCAGCTCATTAGTCACTTAGTAGCCTCCTCTGTTATGAGACCAACTATGTGTTGCAGTATGGCAGTGCTTCTTTCAAGTCGCCCTTGTTACATAAAAATGGCCACAAAGGGCAAGCGTAGTGAAGCTGGCAATTCCAATATGCCTTAGAGAATAGTTAAAGTGTTTCCTCTAAGTAAAAAACTGAAAGTTCTCAATAAAGAAAGAAATCATATGCCATTTCTTCCGTGAATTTGTGAAAAAGGAAACTGCTAGTTTTACTGTTGCATCTCAAATTGCAAAAGTTATGTTCACAGTGATTACATAATAAGTAATCAGTTAAGACAAAAAAACATTAGATTTCTGTATGTATAGGAAAAAATATGGTATATGTAGTTTTCAGTGCTATCTGTGGTTTCAGACATCTGCAGGGATCTTGGAATGTAACCCCTACAGATAGTGGGGGAATGAGGGTGACATATTAGAATTAAAGGGCATATTTTAGATGGGTAGACAGGTTCAGTAAGAAATTAATTTGACAAAGTACTTTCACTTTTTACATGGAACAAGAAACAAAATACAACCTTTGGGATTTTTTTGTTTTACCTTTAGTCAGATAAGGTTCGCTGTCTCTTTCTCTCTTTCTCTCTCCTCTGTCCTCTCTCTGGTGGGCTATCATCTGAACAGGCAAAAAATTTTCAGTCAAGATTGCCTCCTTTGTGTGCAAGACTTGTGAAAAGGTTCCTCCTCTAATAGATGCTTTGAAAAAGATTTGTCTACATTTTATATATTTTTAAAAAGTTTTTATTTATTTATTTATTTTATTTTGTTTGAAAGGCATAGTAACAAAGGGAGGGAAACAGAGATCTTCCATCTACTGGTTCATGTGCTAGATGCTTGCAACAAGTTGAAGCCAGGAGCCAGAGACTCCGTTAGGGTCTCTCACATGGGTGGCATGAAACTGAATACTTGGACCATCATTTGCTGCCTCCCAGGTGGATTAGTAAGAAGCTGTATTGGAGGAGGAGGTGGGACTCCAGCTCAGGCATTGTGACATGGGATACAGCTTAACCAGCTGTGCTTTAATGCCTGCCTCATAGGACACATGTTATTTCTCACAAAAGGAAGATACTGATTTTACGAATAATATGTATATTTTAAGAAATTTGGTAAATTATCAAATTGTCTTCCAGAGTAGAAGAAATCTTTCTAAAAATTCTAATTCCTTTATTTCCCAGGCTAATGTTTTAAGGATCTTCATATTTTCAGGCTAACGATTAAGCTCTTCAGCTTATTTCATTCCATGAGCCCCACCCTGAAACCTCACCACTTCATTTCATATTACACTTCTCCAGTTTACTCTTCATATTTTTCCTATTTGAGGGCTCCCCAAATATTTCATTATTCATGTTAATTAATGCTAAGTTCTTTTGAGCCTCTTTTTCTATGCCCAGCAAAGCCCTCCTTCCCCTTTCTCATTTTCACCAGGTTAATCCTAGTTTCTCTTGCAGGACTTAGTTCAGGGAGTCATGTCTAGCTTCCCTACTGTGCAATACAGAATGAACTTCATTTCTGCTCCCATAGCACCCTCTACTTTCTTCTATAGAAAACAGTGTAATTCTTGATTCTCACCATCTGTTTGAGAGTAAGACATATTTTTAAAATTCAGACGCATATGACTACTCCTAGGATTCAGCTTTCAGGCAAGATCCAGAAAATTGTTGGGCCAAAGTTAAATTCACCAAGTCTTCTTTTTATTCCATTATATCATGGTTATAATTGTCTTTCTTGCTCCTTAAAACAAACTCAGGTTCTCTTACTGCTAATCACTTGAGAGGAGAAAGAGAGAGAAGAGAGAAGAGAGAAGAGAGAAGAGAGAAGAGAGTAGAGAGAAGAGAGAGAAGAGAGAGGAGAGAGGAGAGAGAGAGAGAGAGGAGAGAGGAGAGGGGAGAGAGAGAGAGAGGAGAGAGGAGAGAGGAGAGAGAGAGAGAGATGCAATTGGGGGCAAGTGTGATAAAAAGAAATGATACAACACTGGAAACATAATATATATTTAAAGTAAGTTATTCCTTTTTCTCTCGTAATGGAAATAGAATAAAAACTCAAGGTCCCCTACAACTTGTATGAATCTCTATCATTCTCAACAGCCACTCTAATAGTGCCCCTAGTTTTCTTGTCACCATTTGTTGAAAATAGACTATCTTATCCCCACCATGTAATATTGGTACCTTTGTCAAAGATCATTTGACCATATCTAAAAGGGTTTATTTCTGGGTTGTTAATTCTGTTCCATTTACCTGCATGTCTGTTTGTACCATACCGCTGTGATTACTATAGCTTTAGAACATGTCTTAAAATCAGAAGTATACGATTTCTTGTTTCTTTTTAAAAAAGTGTTTATTAACAATTGTGTGTATTTATGGGCTAAGAGTAATATTTCAATACCTGTATATAATGTGTACTGCTCAAATCAGGGTAATTAATATTTCCCATTCTTTGATATCTTTGGATGGGAGACTTGAAGCTTTCTTCTATTCATTAAATAGAAAACAGGTTACTGTGAATATAGTAGACTGATTAGGTTATGTAACACTAGGAACTTATTCCTTTGATGTAATTCTGATTTGGTATACATTACCCAAACTCTCTAAACTTACCTTCCTACCCTCCCAGCCTGTAGTAGTTACTACTCTGTAGGCAGATTGAGTTGTTTTTAGTTCCACATATGAGGGAGAACATGAGGTATTTGTTTTCCTGTGTCTGGCTGCTTCACTTCACCTGATATCCTATCTTCGAGTTCCATCTATTTTGCTGCCAACTGACAGGAGAAACTGGAGCCCATGTGTGTCATCAGTGGGAATGAAAATGGTACAGTTGCTATGGAAGGTATGCAAGTTCTCAAAAAATTAAAAATATAGTCACTGCAAAT